AGGTGTAGTTGGTGTTGCAGGTGTAGTCGGTGTTGTAGGTGTTGTAGGTGTAGTCGGTGTTGTAGGTGTTGTAGGTGTTGTAGGTGTAGTCGGTGTAGTCGGTGTTGTAGGTGTTGTAGGTGTAGTCGGTGTTGTAGGTGTTGTAGGTGTTGTAGGTGTTGTAGGTGTAGTCGGTGTTGTAGGTGTAGTCGGTGTAGTCAGTGTAGTCGGTGTTGTAGGTGTTGTAGGTGTAGTCGGTGTTGTAGGTGTAGTCAGTGTTGTAGGTGTAGTCGGTGTTGTAGGTGTTGTAGGTGTTGTAGGTGTTGTAGGTGTAGTCGGTGTAGTCAGTGTAGTTGGTGTTGTAGGTGTTGTAGGTGTAGTTGGTGTTGTAGGTGTAGTCGGTGTTGTAGGTGTAGTCGGTGTTGTAGGTGTTGTAGGTGTTGTAGGTGTAGTCGGTGTAGTCGGTGTTGTAGGTGTTGTAGGTGTAGTCGGTGTTGTAGGTGTTGTAGGTGTAGTCGGTGTAGTCGGTGTTGTAGGTGTTGTAGGTGTTTAGGTGTAGTCGGTGTTGTAGGTGTAGTCGGTGTAGTAGGTGGAGTCGGTGTTGTAGGTGTTATAGGTGTAGTCGGTGTTGTAGGTGTTGTAGGTGTAGTCGGTGTTGTAGGTGTAGTCGGTGTCGTCAGTGTAGTCGGTGTAGTCGGTGTTGTAGGTGTAGTCGGTGTAGTCGGTGTTGTAGGTATAGTCGGTGTTGTAGGTGTTGTAGGTGTTGTAGGTGTAGTCGATGTAGTCGGTGTTGTAGGTGTTTAGGTGTAGTCGGTGTTGTAGGTGTTGCAGGTGTAGTCTGTGTTGTAGGTGTTGTAGGTGTAGTCGGTGGTGTAGGTGTAGTCGGTGTAGTCGGTGTTGTAGGTGTTGTAGGTGTAGTCGGTGTTGTAGGTGTTGTAGGTGTTGTACGTGTAGTCGGTGTTGTAGGTGTAGTCGGTGTTGTAGGTGTAGTCGGTGTTGTAGGTGTAGTCGGTGTAGTCGGTGTTGTAGGTGTAGTCGGTGTTGTAGGTGTAGTCGGTGTTGTAGGTGTTGTAGGTGTTGTAGGTGTAGTCGGTGTAGTCGGTGTTGTAGGTGTAGTTGGTTTAGTCGGTGTTGTAGGTGTAGTCGGTGTTGTAGGTGTAGTCGGTGTTGTAGGTGTAGTCGGTGTAGTCGGTGTTGTAGGTGTAGTCGGTGTAGTCGGTGTTGTAGGTGTTGTAGGTGTAGTCGGTGTTGGAGGTGTAGTCGGTGTTGGAGGTGTAGTCGGTGTTGTAGGTGTAGTAGGTGTAGTCGGTGTTGTAGGTGTTGTAGGTGTAATCGGTGTTGTAGGTGTTGTAGGTGTAGTCGGTGTTGTAGGTGTAGTTGTTGTTGTAGGTGTTGTAGGTGTAGTCGATGTAGTCGGTGTTGTAGGTGTTTAGGTGTAGTCGGTTTTGTAGGTGTTGCAGGTGTAGTCTGTGTTGTAGGTGTTGTAGGTGTAGTCGGTGGTGTAGGTGTAGTCGGTGTAGTCGGTGTTGTAGGTGTTGTAGGTGTAGTCGGTGTTGTAGGTGTTGTAGGTGTTGTAGGTGTAGTCGGTGTTGTAGGTGTAGTCGGTGTTGTAGGTGTAGTCGGTGTTGTAGGTGTAGTCGGTGTAGTCGGTGTTGTAGGTGTAGTCGGTGTTGTAGGTGTAGTCGGTGTTGTAGGTGTTGTAGGTGTTGTAGGTGTAGTCGGTGTAGTCGGTGTTGTAGGTGTAGTTGGTTTAGTCGGTGTTGTAGGTGTAGTCGGTGTTGTAGGTGTAGTTGGTGTTGTAGGTGTAGTCGGTGTAGTCGGTGTTGTAGGTGTAGTCGGTGTAGTCGGTGTTGTAGGTGTTGTAGGTGTAGTCGGTGTTGGAGGTGTAGTCGGTGTTGGAGGTGTAGTCGGTTTGGTAGGTGTAGTAGGTGTAGTAGGTGTAGTCGTTGTTGTAGGTGTTGTAGGTGTAATCGGTGTTGTAGGTGTTGTAGGTGTAGTCGGTGTTGTAGGTGTAGTCGTTGTTGTAGGTGTAGTAGGTTTTGTAGGTGTAGTCGGTGTTGGAGGTGTAGTCGGTGTTGTAGGTGTTGTAGGTGTTGTAGGTGTAGTCGGTGTTGTAGGTGTAGTCGGTTAGTCGGTGTTGTAGGTGTTGTAGGTGTAGTCAGTGTTGTAGGTGTTGAAGGTGTTGGAGGTGTAGTCGGTGTTGGAGGTGTAGTCGATGTAGTAGGTGTAGTCGGTGTTGTAGGTGTTGTAGGTGTAGTCGGTGTTGTAGGTGTTGTAGGTGTAGTCGGTGTTGTAGATGTAGTCGGTGTTGTAGGTGTAGTAGGTGTTGTAGGTGTAGTCGGTGTTGGAGGTGTAGTCGGTGTTGTAGGTGTAGTCGGTGTTGTAGGTGTAGTCGGTGTTGTAGGTGTTGTAGGTGTAGTCGGTGTTGTAGGTGTAGTCGGTGTTGTAGGTGTAGTAGGTGTTGTAGGTGTAGTTGGTGTTGTAGGTGTAGTCGGTGTAGTCGGTGTAGTAGGTGTAGTCGGTGTTGTAGGTGTAGTCGGTGTAGTCGGTGTTGTAGGTGTAGTTGGTGTAGTCGGTGTTGTAGGTGTAGTCGGTGTTGTAGGTGTAGTCGGTGTTGTAGGTGTAGTCGGTGTTGTAGGTGTAGTCGGTGTAGTCGGTGTAGTCGGTGTAGTCGGTGTTGTAGGTGCAGTCGGTGTTGTAGGTGTAGTCGGTGTTGTAGGTGTAGTCGGTGTAGTCGGTGTTGTAGGTCTAGTCGGTGTTGTAGGTGTAGTCGGTGTAGTCGGTGTTGTAGGTGTTGTAGGTGTAGTCGGTGTTGTAGGTGTTGTAGGTGTTGGAGGTGTAGTCGGTGTTGGAGGTGTAGTCGGTGTAGTAGGTGTAGTCGGTGTTGTAGGTGTAGTAGGTGTTGTAGGTGTAGTCGGTGTTGGAGGTGTAGTCGGTGTTGTAGGTGTTGTAGGTGTAGTCGGTGTTGTAGGTGTAGTCGGTTAGTCGGTGTTGTAGGTGTTGTAGGTGTAGTCAGTGTTGTAGGTGTTGTAGGTGTTGGAGGTGTAGTCGGTGTTGGAGGTGTAGTCGGTGTAGTAGGTGTAGTCGGTGTTGTAGGTGTTGTAGGTGTAGTCGGTGTTGTAGGTGTTGTAGGTGTAGTCGGTGTTGTAGATGTAGTCGGTGTTGTAGGTGTAGTAGGTGTTGTAGGTGCAGTCGGTGTTGGAGGTGTAGTCGGTGTTGTAGGTGTAGTCGGTGTTGTAGGTGTTGTAGGTGTAGTCGGTGTTGTAGGTGTTGTAGGTGTAGTCGGTGTTGTAGGTGTAGTCGGTGTTGTAGGTGTAGTAGGTGTTGTAGGTGTAGTTGGTGTTATAGGTGTAGTCGGTGTTGTAGGTGTTGTAGGTGTAGTCAGTGTTGTAGGTGTAGTCGGTGTTGTAGGTGTAGTTGGTGTTGTAGGTGTAGTCGGTGTTGTATGTGTAGTCGGTGTTGGAGGTGTAGTCGGTGTTGTAGGTGTAGTCGGTGTTGTAGGTGTAGTAGGTGTTGTAGGTGTAGTTGGTGTTATAGGTTTAGTCGGTGTTGTAGGTGTTGTAGGTGTAGTCAGTGTTGTAGGTGTAGTCGGTGTTGTAGGTGTAGTTGGTGTTGTAGGTGTAGTCGGTGTTGTAGGTGTAGTCGGTGTTGTAGGTATTGTAGGTGTAGTCGGTGTAGTCGGTGTAGTCGGCAGTCGAGGGTAGAGCAGCAGCAATCCAGAGTGTTGTTCAGCACTCACTCACACCTCCACCAACTCGCAATGGCAAACGTGAAGTATGGTCAAATATTAATATGTTCAGATGGTTTCGACCAAATAAATGCGCGTTAACATGTGCCAGATAGAACAACACTCCATCCCATACAGGTGGAGCAACACTCCATCCCATACAGGTGGGAGCAACACTCCATCCCATACAGGTGGGAGTAACACTCCATCCCATACAGGTGGGAGCAACACTCCATCCCATACAGCTGGAGCAGCACTCCATCCCATACAGGTGGAAGCAACACTCCTACCCATACAGGTGGAAGCAACACTCCATCCCATACAGGTGGGAGCAACACTCCATCCCATACAGGTGGGAGTAACACTCCATCCCATACAGGTGGGAGCAACACTCCATCTCATACAGGTGGAGCGACACTCCATCCCATACAGGTGGAAGCAACACTCCATCCCATACAGGTGGAGCAACACTCCATCCCATACACGTGGGAGCAACACTCCATCCCGTACAGGTGGAGCAACACTCCATCCCATACAGGTGGAGTAACACTCCATCCCATACAGGTGGAGCAAAACTCCATCCCATACAGGTGGAGCAAAACTCCATCCCATACAGGTGGAGCAAAATTCCATCCCATACAGGTGGAACAAAACTCCATCCCATACAGGTGGAGCAAAACTTCATCCCATACAGGTGGAAGGAACATTCCATCCCATACAGGTGGGAGCAACACTCCATCCCATACAGGTGGGAGCAACACTCCATCCAATACAGGTGGGAGCAACACTCCATCCCATACAGGTGGGAGCAACACTCCATCCCATACAGGTGGAAGCAACACTCCATCCCATACAGATGGAGCAACACTCTATCCCATACAGGTGGGAGCAACACTCCATCCAATACAGGTGGGAGCAACACTCCATCCCATACAGGTGGGAGCAACACTCCATCCCATACAGGTGGAACCAACAGCCCATCCTATACAGATGGAGCAACACTCCATCCCATACAGGTGGGAGCAACACTCCATCCCATACAGATGGAGCAACACTCCATCCCATACAGGTGGGAGCAACACTCCATCCCATACAGGTGGAAGCAACACTCCATCCCATACAGGTGGGAGCAACACTCCATCCCATACAGGTGGGAGCAACACTCCATCCCATACAGGTGGAGCAACACTCCATCCCATACAGGTGGGAGCAACACTCCATCCCATCGAGACGAAAGAGGCGGAGTCCACATTTGCTGTACTGACTGCTCCGAGCGAGTCAGGAATTGACTCACCCCGTTGCCTCCTCACTGCTGTCGACAGTCAACACCAATTGTGTCTGTGCTCGCTTCCACGTTGCTCCCTTTGCTGTCTCTCCCATTCTTTCTTCGCGTGCTTTGGAGATGTTTCATTTCTTATTTCAAATTCTTGATCAGAGTCTGTTTGTATCCGTCCGTACATCGTGGTAGGTAATGAGCACCGATGAGACGCGCAGTTCTTCTCCAGGCACTGTTGGCATGTTGCTTTTCATGATCACATTTCCAAAAGCACTCCACTCTGTTGTCGCTTGCCTCGTCATTTCATCGCTTTGATCATGTCCTCACATTTGATGTTCATATTCTGCTGCTCTTTTCCGATTGTGTCCGTTCAATTGACACATTCGGTTGTTTAGCGAACTTGCTGTTACCTGCCGTTTGTGTTTTGCTCGCGTATCTTCTGCAGCACCGTGGCTCTCTTTCTCACCCACTATTTTATCATCGCACGTTACAATTAACGACGGTGTGGTCAGCGAATCTTAGAGGGGTCACGTCTCAAATGTATGTTTCTCGTTTTTTCTCAAAATTACATTTTCTCCCGACAAACAATTGTCTCGCGTGTTCAACAAACTTCATCGAAATGCTTTCAAACTATAGCCAATTGCACTGTAACACTCAACCACACAACCATAGCCCCATTAACACTACGACCCGAACTCCAACGAGGCACGGTGCGTGAACGCGTGTCGGACTTCCTTCGCACCGGGCTCACCCCGTGTGTGTTGTGTTTCTCCCTTGTGATGGGACTTTGTAGGATGAACGCTGAGATTTATAAGGGCACGGGGTGACCTACAAGGTGTGAATTGGTCTGTAATAAGTGAGGACAACTGATAGGGGGTTGACAGCTATGGGACAAGGAACTAAGACACGCAAAAAGCACTTTCTCACGAAAAGCACGAGCACGAACCCCTAACAAACTAAGCCGAGGAGAACGATATCCCTGCAGAACCTCCTCACCCACTCGAGCCACGCGGATACAATCCCGACTCCGTAATGTTAACAAACCGGCCCAACAGCCGCCAGCGAGGACCCCAGACATCGCCCGCACGCTGCGATCACAGCTCCCGGGTTCACTCCTCACCGCTGCCGGTGTCTCGCGCCGCCGCTCGGCCAGGGGTTAATGAACGCACACAGTGTGGGGAGTCGCTTTGCCCTCCTTCTCAAAGCTCTGGCGGATGCGTCGCCTTCCATTTTGTGAGTAAACATTCCGACTGCCGGGGGGAGAGCCAGCAGCTGAAGGCTGCAGCCCCGATAGCGTCCCGCGTAGTGCTCCCTCCATCCATTACCACCACCCACCCCCCGCTCTCTCTCTCTCCGCATCCTCCTCCTACTCCATGCGCCCCTCTCTCCCCTTCTCATCCCAGCAGCGGCGCTGCCGCAGCGCAGACTCAACAAGATCAATAGCCCGGGCTGCGCCAAAAACGCGGAGCCGGAGCCGCCGCGGCTGGAGCGGACGGTCCAAACAATAGGATCGGCGCGATCACCGTCAGTCACTCCGGCGACAGACTCGCCCCGTGTAAACGGCCTTTGAATATCGCGGTTCAGAAGCCGCGCCGTCGAAGAGGGCTTCGTGGAACGCGATTCCCGCCGCTCGGGACGGGGGAGTTTCGCGGAGCGAATCCGCGCCGCGGTCATCCGCCGCGGGCTTTTGCGCCGCCCCCGCTTGCAATCATTCTCAAGAAATGCGAGCAATTTGGCTGTCATTCGCGAAGAGCGGTGCTTGCGCGCGTTCGCCGAACCACCATCGGGGCTCCCGGTCGGCACGTTCCCAGGGCAGGCCGCCGCTGTCGCGGCTTCTCGCAGCCGAGCGGGGGCCGCGGACAGCCGCTGAGAGAACGGCGACCGCCACAGCAGCGGCCCCATCGTGAAGCGCCGCGGCGCTGCCTGCTGCCCGCAGCCGCTGGGATTGCGGACCGCCGAGCTGACCCGTGCCACGCCGCGGCCGAACAGCCGAGGAGGAGGAGGAGGGGACACAAACACGAGAGGAGCCACGGGGGTCCCCCCCCCATCATCATCACACCCCCTCCCCCTGCTTCTTTCTCTAAAGATCGGCCAGTCTAGAAATAAGCTGTGTACCCACCAAACCTACCTACCCGTCTACCCCCCCGGCGTCATTATATCCTTGCGTGCACCAGCCCATCATCCTCTCGCCGTGAGAGTGCCGCTCGTGGAAGAAAGACGTTCCATCTGCGCAGGAGCGTCCCACATTCTCGACAGCAGCGCCTGCCAGGTAAGCGCCATTCACATCTCCAGCAAACATCGCCCCTTTTGTCTGTGACCTCCTCCTGCTGCTCATCATCCTGCTGCTACTCCTGACTTGGATGCCCGCGGGGTTCCACGTCGTTTGTGTGTGTGTGTGTCCCGGGGAAGAATCGACGATAATCCTGGGACTCGAAGCCGTATGTATACCCCCAGTGTGCTACAGAATTCCCATTCTCGCGTGCCTGGTTCCAGCGAGCAGGACACGGCACCAAGTTTGAGCCGTAAATGCGTTTTCTGATGTAATATACATTTTAAAATCCTCAATCGCTTCTTTTTTTTTTGCGGAGAGAGAAATGATCATTCTATGCGGCGCCCCAGCGCGGTTACGTGGAGATTGCTCGATGTAGGCGGGGGGGGAGGGGGTGTTTGTTTAACGTGAATGTTTGTAATGTAAGTGTATTTACAAGTTAATAATTACACAACTGTGTTGCGGTAAAATTCGTCCCCTCTCTCTTGCACGCGTAGCGTTTTCTTTCACAATTTTCGGTGAAATCGGGAGGCGTATCAAGCTGTTGGCACGTTCGTTTACGATAATTGTCATTTTTTAAATGACAAATATTTTTTGTGTTTAATTCCTATTTTGTTACTTTCGCGAATATACGAAGATAACAGCGTGAGACGAATTTGGCATTTTAATGAATTCGGCATTTTAGACGTCGGATGGCGACGGCATTTTGAGGGGGAAGCCACCATCTAGCAGTGGAGTGACCACAACTCATTATTTCTAACGAATATTTTAATCGTGTTTAAAAAAAAAATATTCATCTTGACTCCAAACATGTTTGGGTATCTCAAAAACCCCGTTTACTGAAAAGACGAACCACACGTCCCAGTCCGCTGGTTCGCATGATCGGCTTTTTAAACCCCATTCATAATCGTTGACATTTGACGCCCTCCTAATCGCTACTTAAAATCCTATTCGAGGCATTTCAATATCTCAATGATATTTGTAGTATATTGAGAATTGCACGTACATACATATATAGTTACATATACATATTTAACATTCTAGTGGATCGACGCAACCTGTTTTCAGGAATTCTTACACCGCAAAATTAGAATTTTTATTTTATTTCCTCGGGAGAACATTTTTTTAGGCAAATATCTGTAACGCCAACCGCACACAATTGTGTACACACATGGCCTGCACGCAAGTGTGGGCGGGTGTCTGTGCGTCTGTGCGTGTGTGAAATATCCCGACTACAAACTACAATTCTCACGCGAAGACGGAGAAAGCAAACCCCGTTGTGTTCGGGGGATGCCGTGTGTACGTATCCGCCGAGCGCGGTCCTGACATGGCGCGTGGGGCTCTGGGGATGTTGTAGTCACGTCTCTGCGCACTCCTCTGCCCGCTGCCAGCCGCTCTGGTTATTACAAGTGAGTTAGCGCCGTCCCCGACATTTACATATCAAAGGAATGTTTCGGACAAAGCCAGCCTCTGTCTGCCACGCCAGTCACATCCACGGAACCTTTTCCGCCGACTGTGCCGAGGGATGGGGGGGGCAGCTGCTGGAGGGGGGGGGGGCGATGCTGGAGGGGGGGGGCGATGATGGAGAGGGGGGGGGGCGATGATGGAGAGGGGGGGGCGATGATGGAGGGGGGGGCGATGATGGAGAGGGGGGGGGCGATGCTGGATGTTGCTCGTTTTGTTCTGCGTGAGCGAGCCGATTGGCTTTTGTTTATCAGCGCAGTCATACAATTTTTACCGGAATAATCCTTACTTTTTTTCTGTGCGGGGAGAAAACCCCTTTATTTGCCCTCCCTGCCTTTGGCTTTCCTTGTAAAAAGGAAGAAGAAAAACAGCCACACAGAGAGAGAGAGAGTGTGCGTGCCAGCCGTCACTCTGGTTGTTGAAGTGAATAAAGCCGAAGGAATATGAGCGGCCGACTGAATCTGACGGCGCTGGAGACAGACTACTTATGAGATTGCGGCCACTGAATGGCAGGCGTAAAAAAAACCGGCACGGTTGGCTTGGAGAAATCATTAAACCGGAGGCCGTGACCCAAAACTGCAGGTGTTTGCCTCCTTGAGTGGGAGGTTTGACAAAAAAACTGTTTTGCGTAACCATTATTGGATAAATGTCACCCCACGTAGCGGTGGTATACAAAGGGGGATGCGAATCAAGCGATGGGTTTAGCAAATCGGCAAGCCACTATAGCGAACGGTTAACCACTCTAACAATCAGTCAGCCACTCTAACGAACGGCTAGCTACCATAACGAACGATTAGCCACTCTAACAATCAGTCAGCCACTCTAACAATCAGCCAGCCACTCTAACAATCAGTTAGCCTTTCTAGATTTGAACTCCTCTGCCCGCTGTCAGCCGTTAGCCACCATAACGAACGGTTAGCCACTCTAACAATCAGTCAGCCACTATAACGAAGAGCCAGTGACTGTAACGAACTGCCATCCACTGTAACGGTGGCGACCAGGCGATTGCTATCAGCACTACGTGTTTGGGACAATGGGCAACAGCTCTGTGTCACTTTCACGCCGTGGCAGCTGTTTGTCAGCAGAACCCGCGGTGCGATGCGCACAAGTGGCTCTCTCTCTCGGAGGGAGAGCCGCAGAGCGAGTGTCGCACCTCGCAACAGCCTTGGTGTGAACCGCAATTAAAGCGTTAAAGAGGCACATGTCCAGCACACGGCCTGAAGCTCTTAAAGAGAAAGCCAGATGTATGGTTGGAATGATGCGGGATCCTTCCTCGGTGCTGGGGGGGGGGGGGGCGAGGTGGCGATGGAGGTAATTTCAAGAGAATACGCAGTCCGGCTGTTTTGCTCACACTTGGCCATACTTAGTATATTCCCAGTAATTCACACAACCCGTTCGTTGAATGTGCGTCCATTCGATCCTTCATCGTATGGACAGGTTGACGGGGCTGTCGCTGCCGTGGCCACGGGGTGGGATTATCACGTCGCGACATCGTGAGAGATGGCGTGGACGGGCCTTCATCATCCAGCAGTGGATTCATTCTGGCCGTTGATCACGAAATTGTTGGGGTCAAAACAACTTTTTAGTGGATATCCGAGACGGAAAGAAGGAAAGATGAAATATAGAACAAGCAAAACTGCGAATGAGAACAAGGGTTGTAGGCATGGCGAGCGCAGAACAACACGGCGTGTGCTCCATTATTCAGCCACATTCACCCGTTCATCACCGTTTGGGTAATTCAATGTTGTTTTCCTTACGCATTTAACAACTCTAAGTAATAGTTTAGTATTCATTATGCGCAAGCGAGCTATACATAGTCATCGTGCGAGCGACGCATTACGGTGGGTTACAATGATTTAATTCGCAAGCAGAGCACACACACGCACACACACACACAACAACCGCCATTCGCCACTAAGTGGCGGTGACGTTACCACGACGCTTGTGCCAGGCCATGTGCACCTTGAGGCCACGTGAAGTGTCGAACGCCCGCTGGCAGGAGGTCACGGGGCAGACCCAAGTGCCACGGGTCGACTGACTGAGATGACTGAGATTACTGGCTGATGCACCACCTGTGCCCCCTACTGTGCCAATCTGCTATGGTTTAGCCACCCGGCTCTCCGCTCGTTGTTGTGAGCGTCGCTCCTCCGCCCTCCGTTGTTGTTGGAGGGCGACTGCCTCCAACTGCCCAGTAGCATCCTTCACGAGCCTCCTCCACAGAGGCCGATCTTGACACCGCTGGTACCAGTCATCGGCAAGTCCACTCAGCTCCACGTCCTCCTGTACCACATTACTCCATCTCTTCTCTAGCCCGTGCCGCGCCCGTTTAGCCCCCTCGATCCGGCCGAACAAAAGCTGTTTCGGCACACACACACGCGCACACACACACACACGAACACACACACACGCGCGCACACACACACGCGCGCACACACACGCGCACACACACACGCGCACACACACACACGCGCACACACACGTGAACACACACACACGCGCACACACACGCGCACACACACGCGCGCGCACACACGCACACACACACGCGCACACACGCACACACACACGCGCACACACGCACGCGCACGCACGCACACACACGCACGCACACACACGCACGCGCACACACACGCGCACACACACACGCGAACACACACGCGCACACACACACGCGCGAACACACACACGCGCACACACACGCGAACACACACGCACACACGCGCGAGCCGCGTCCGAATTTGAATGCGAGGGGCCCCGCTCCACGCCGTCGTTTCGCGCCAACACCCCGCGAACGATCGTTCGCGGCGGATTAACAAACAAAAAAAAACGAACCCCGTCTCGCAGTGGCAGACATTTTGTGGGAAAGGGCTTCCTGAAAAACGTCGCGGGCCACGGTACGAAAAAAAAAATCTCTGGCAGAAGAAGAGAATCCTCGCGACTTTTTTTACTTGCACCTGAGCTCTTCCCCCCCGCCGCCGTGGCCGATGCCACACCCAGAGAGAGAGGAGGGGATGTGCAGTCGAGGAGAGCTCGTCTCGGTACTCATGCCAAGTGCGGGTGTGTTGAAGGGGGGTGGCGGTGGCTGTGCAGTTCAGTTGGTAGCCAATTATTTTAAGCGCCTGGCATCTTGCCCACTGGAAGAATGAGGCATCTGACCCCCCTCCTCCCCTCCCCAATACAAGATGGATGTTGTGGCCTTACTTCCATTTCGGCAGTCACATGTTTAAAAATATATCGGAAATTTATATCTGGTTCGGAAAGGAAAAAAAACCAAAGCACCTCCAATCGTTTCGTGATTTATCCGGGCGATGGTTTTTTTTTCAAACTCTGCCAGAGCCTTGAGGTGATGTTTTGTAAAATGCCAAAACACTGCACATTTCAATTATGGGAAATAATGAACCCCCCCCACTTGCAGCTTAAAATATAGCCTTGAAACATTCAGAGTACACAATAGCGATTTCCAATACGTTTTTAATGATTGGTTTTTATAAGGGACTCAGGGAGTCTCATAAGCCCATTAAAAAATGACTTCCCTT